AAAAAAAACTGCCTTTGCATCAAAATCCCAGTTCTGCTGATTAAATATTTTTCTATCATGTTACCATAGTAATTGCAATGATATACAATTGATACTTACAATATTTTCATCTYTTAATTCCAATTCAAATTCTAATTTAAATGGAGGAAACCCTTCCGATAAAGTTATTGTCATATCTGTTTTGATATTTAATTTGTCTAGGTAAAAATTATAATTTACATTGTCCATGTCTTTCATATTTTCCAAAAATTCAACAATGTTTTTAACATCAACTTCAATATTGGTTGTCTATGCAAATAAAACAAAAATAATCACCACAAGTTTCAKTACATAAAAACTGGAAATATTGGTTATGATACAAATTTTAACTGTGATTTAGATTGAACAATTTTTAAATTATCCATTATTGAACGTTTAATTTTAATTATAMAGTTTTTCTAGTTTATTTTTCTTTTATAATGCAAATTTTTGAAAATAATTTCTCACCGAATATATCGTAGCGAATGAATGTTCATGTATTTCTTTTGAGTATAATTGCTTCATATTGGTGTAATTAAAAATACAAAGGTCCCCATTTCGACAGAATTGAAAAAACATTGGAGCATTGTCAAATGTTTTCTTTGTAGACACCCACATATTTACGAATTTAAAGTTATCAATTAACTCTTCCAATAAAAGTAAATAAATAAAAGATCAGTTTAGTTGACAGTTTCCATAATTAAAAATATTTGAATTCTGTATTACTATAAAACTATCGACTATCATGTTATTATAGGTATTCAAATACTAATAATGTCTAATAAAATATCATAACATAAGAAGTATATTATCTATCACCAATTCACCATTGTCCTTTGCTGTCACTGAAGACATATCTGAATTCTGAATATCTTTTTTGGTAAAAAATAAAATAAAAAATAGATTATTTATTTTAACAAGATTGTAGCAAGCTGTAGCACTAAGGTGGATATTGGATAATAATATATTATGAATATTACGTGTGTGAAACTTTTTTCAGACGATTAGTGATAAGAAACYWTGTACGTTGGGTTGCTTCTCATTGAATATTTCAGGGGACCGTATTATTACACCGATCCCGTAAAGCAGATGTCGCCCTAAGTCGCAACCAAAAAGATACAAGTTATTATATTATATATCATTTATTATTATATTATATATTATACAAGTTTATAAAGAAATTCTTTAATAATAATAATAATAATAATACCCAAATTCGTTGAAATTCATTTGTTTATCAATTTTGTTGTTATTTATTTATTTTTTTGTTTTTTTCATTATATGTTTTTCCTATACATTAATTGCACATTATTCTAACGATGTATACATGATAAATGTATTTATGTAATTTAATTTAATGTAATAAATGTATACATGATAAATCCTTTATATTTATTTATTATATACAATTATTCAACTATTTGTTTTTTTTTTACCGTAACCCGGCAGGGACGGGTAATTCAATAACTAGTGTTATGTAAACCTTTGTATTTTATTTTGTAATTTTACCTATTAATAATTTATATGTGTTAGATTGTTATTATTATTATTTTTATTGTACACATGCAGKAACCCTATGTCCCTATATCATCCTAATATTGTAAATAAATATTAAAACATTCTTATTTTCTTGTCAATTAGCATTTATGATGAGTTTTGACAGTTTTCTTACAACGAGGTTAATGCCTTTTTAGATGTTGCAAATAATACACATTTAATATATTACCTATAATAGGTACATGYATCAAATTATTCATCGTACAACCAGTAAGTATAAATATACCAGGATAATTCAATCATATTAATCATAATGCCTTTGTCATGAGAAACCGATAACAGTTATTTACGATTTTAAACGTGCCAGTTAAAAAAACACAATAAGATTGAACCACGATTTAAGATATATAYTAGTTACTTACTATTAGCAACTGCATCACAGAATAGATTAAATCTATTCTGTGATTRCATCATTAGTTTAAAAACAGAAATATGTAAACAAATTATAATTTGTACCCACGAATTTTAACTAACAATTAAAAATTTTCAATATAGGTACTTCTGGAAACGGATATTTTCTAATATACAATTTTCGAGTAAAATATTTTATGCAAACCTTTTTTTTTTTGGATCATACCGTTCTGTAAAATTGAGTTATATTTTATTCCATTCTGGAATTATACACCCAGCGGAATTTCTGCAATATTATTTTCTGGATTTTTAGTTTTTACGTTCTACTGATATAAATTCTTATAAGTTTAAATTCTATGCTATCTACTTTCTTTCATTTTATTTTCTGTTAAAATATTATCTGGGCTTTTTGTATTCTGGCAGCTTTCAATTCTCTAATATTATTTTCTGTAATTAAACATTCGACTAATCTACATTCCGGCGGTTTTTTTTCGGGAAAATTTTATGGATACGAAAATAGGAGCACAATAGTATGCAATTTGTACGCATAATAATATGCTGACCCATATATTATCATATGAATTAAAAGTTAATAAAAATTACTGTTGGCATTTAATGTAGGTATATTATATATGATATCTCTCATTTAAACACAAGGTTTKCATTGAAATGAAAAAAAATACCATTATTCAGCTTTGTTGTATACAAAGAATGTAATAAATAATTAAAAAACTTCATTTTTCGAAATAAAGGTACGTAGAAAAAAAAAATTCAAACCTCGCGACCGCCTGGACCGATCGATCGTTTGAAATACGGTCCTCTRGACGTTCCGTCGCTTATTGCTGTGCAACCGAGACCCGTGTGCACTTTAGATTCATATTTAACTTGTAGAGAATTTTCCTGGCTTTCCGATTATACTATCGAATCGCTTCGCCACCTTCCGAAACATTGTCAAAAAAATTTAAAACYTCGCGCCCGCCTGTACYGATCGATCGTATAAATCTAAGTAATACTTATATATTATAATAATAAACAAACAGTATAGTATTATAGAATACTAAAATCAGTATTCACTGGGTGAATCACATGGCGCTATCTTGTGTTATAATGTAATATAAGCGTTGAGCGCCTCGAAAATAATAAACTGCAACCAGGCGTACAAGGTTTCTTATCACTAGTCGTCCGAAAAAATAGTATTTATGATAATTTCTCATTCTCATCAATGTCAAATATAAAATAATTTAATTATATTAATTATTATTAACGACTTACTTATACATTTTTACAATAAAATATAATCTACAATGTGCAATGCTGGTATTAAATATGAAGTTTAAACATAAAACAATAATAGTATAATTGTATAAATATAAATATTAAATGTACTAGTTGGATGTATTCATACTTCATAGGTATAACAATAATTAAATAGGAAGTTAATCGTTCTATTCATAAGTCTTACAAGATACAGGTGAGGTAATCATTAATTACGAATTACGACTAAAGGCACATTGTAAATGTATAATATAATATGTATCAGAATCATGTAAAACTGATTTAGAACAGTTTTTTTTAAGTCTATTGATTTCAGTTTAATGATGTTTCTCAAACAACTAGAAAAGTTGACATTAATAAATAACTAATAAAATGTAACTGAAAATTTTGCATCTGATTAAATAATAACATTATTAAATTCTGTATCTGTGATCATAGTGAGTTTAATTTAATTATATAACACAGAACAATACCAAGTTATGTATTATAGAAATATAATTTCAAAATATGCTCTGTGATAAGAATATCAATAATAATTTTAGGCTATTTTTATTAATGAATAATTTATACTATTCGTTTTGCAGGTGGATGACGTTCTAGCATWTATGGTTTAAACATTTTTATTCATTATATTTATTCATAAATCAAATACAAATTGAACATTTAATATTGTTAAAAATATAATATGCCCTCTGAACGTCGTTTGTGGAAAATAGTATTTGAGAATTTTTTAAAATCTCTTCAACCTAARCTTAAAGAAAAACCAATCGGTTCTGATGCTCAAGGCAATAAATATTTTGAGTTAGAAGCGGATCCTCGAGGTGGTCGTAGATTGCCAAGAAGATGGTTTGTTCCAGCCAATGAAGAATCAAGTGTTCCAACACCAGAATGGTCACAGTGGTTAAGAGGAAGACGCGATGAACCACCAACTTCAGAGGAAATTGCTCATAATGAAGCTATTGCAAATATGAAAAAAATTAATGCTGAAAATATTGCACAGAAATTTAGACTTACAGACTCTACAGATAATGAGACAGAATATCAAGAAAATAGTAAAGGGTTTCCTGATATGTCTGAAAAATTTGAAAGACAACCTGGAAATTTAAAAAGTAAAATAAAATAAATTTTAGTCAACAATTGTTCTTTGTAAAATATATTGCAAAAATTAATTTTCTGCGTATTATTTAAGTTTTGACAATCCTTTTTGAGTTTAAGTAGAATACAGTATTATCATAATTATGTCCAATAGAAAATAATAGTTCATGCATACAAAATATTTTTGCTTAAATACCTTGAGTTCACTAAATTATACAATCTAATTAAAATATTATTTATGTACGATGACCATACTTTAAACCCTTGTGACCATTATTGTATTGTTTATGAGCCAATAAAAATTGTTGGCTTTAATCAAATAAATTWAAAAAAAATATTTTTGTTTTTTAAGTATTTTCATTGATTATTATCAATGGTATTTACTAGTAAAATTATAACATACATAATTCTTACTAAATTTCAAATCTAATTGTACATAATATAGTATTTCAATGAGTAATTATTATTATTGACAATTGTGAGTGGATTTTAGGTATGTGATCTCATTTGATGCTACTTATAATTTTTAGCATAACTAATAGTTTTTAAATGCATATCAATTTAGCCAACTATAAAAACTCTAAGATTCTTGGCCTTTAAGTTAATTTACTAAATTTCAATAATATTTTATACTTAACATAATTAAGTGTGATGCAATTTAATAGATATTCATAATTTACAAAAAGTTATGTGATAATGTAGTCAATATTTTAATTTTAATAAATAAATTTGTATATATCATATACAAGAATTTCACAATTCTGTTCAATAATAGTATGAAATTTAAAATTTTACAAATACTAGAATAATAAGTGATAACCATGGTAGTATACATTTTGAAATTAAATTAATAAAAATTGCAAAAAAAATTTTATTTACAAAATGTTATAGATACATTATAAAATAATTAGTTACATAATATATAATGTGTTAATATTAAAATAACTAAATAGTAAAGTAAAATAATAGACATTTCAACTGATTCAACCAGAAAAGTCACTATGGTCAAATAACGCTTGATCATATAGTTCAGCTTTAACTAAACGTCCGCCAAAGAATCGACCATTCAGGGAGTCTCGAGCTTGTTCGGCCTCTGAAAGTTATCAATCATCAATTAATATTGCAACCATTTACAAAACAAATTATTTTTGCAAATTACCAGACATCTGTGTAAACTCCACAAAAATCTTTACAATTGTATCGGAATCATCATCTACACTATCTGATTGCTTTTCTTTATAAATAATAACACGTTCAACAACACCAAACCTGTAAAAAATAAATATAAATATTATGCGATATCAATTAAATTAATGGGATTTAGCTACTGAGTAGAATGAGGCAGCAGTACCAACAGACATAGTCACTGGTTTTACTAATGGCCTTTCTCTATAAGTAGGYAACTATTTATAAAAAGAGATTGCCATCTCTAATAAGAGGCAATTAAAAACTATTATAAATTAAAGCTACATAGTATATCACATTATTAACAGTTAACCTTAAAAATAATGGAAAATTATTAAATCACCAAATTGTACTTTAAATTCTTTACTTTATACTTTAAACATAGATAAACACTATTGAAAAATAAAAAAAGATATTAATTACTTGCTACATTCATCTTGAATTTCTTCTTGTAAACTGTCATCTACATCTTCTACACCAACCATGTTTCTGAGTATAACAACTCTACTCTATATTAACATTTTAAACAAATAAAATGAATTGTTAAATGTCACAATGAAAGTTTTAAAATAGTTTCTAATTGCATAACTATTTATGCATAACATTTTTTTTTACAAAATGATACAAATAATAAAATTTGATTTTTATCATATATAGTTTGAGTATCTGAATTGAAAATATATACTTGTAAAGCCATTCAAGTAATTGCCTTGATATTGAAGGTGAAGCATGGGAATTTTTTTTGATGACAAGTAATTTAAAAAATATAATTATTGTTACTAGTTTTAAAAGTAAATTTAAAGTAAAATAGTAAATGGTCATTTAATTATTAGTTCTAAATGTTTAATTTTGATCCTTAAATATTTATATTCTATATTCCAGAAGAGAACAGGCCGTGCCAACCWACATTTGTTCCTCTACACAACATTCTGCCTAAGAGGAACCAATAGTTTTGATATTGAGTAACATAGGAGGATACAAATATAAGGCACGGTTTTTTGTGKAAATGGTACAGAATCACTAGTCTTATAGATATATTTAGGTTGGGTGAAACTAAGCTGTATGTTTTATTAAAATATTATTACATTTACCTCAGTTTTCCTCATTAATTTTTGCATAACAAGATGTCTAGCACTTTGCCCTTTAATAGACATATTTTCTTGTTGTTGTAATGTTTGAGGTTCAGTTTCTTCTAATAATTTTTTTTGTAATTCTTCTTGTTTTTTTTGTTGATCAGCTCGTTTTAGTGCATCTGCTGTTACTGTTGGAATTACAGGGGCAGCCAATTGTGTAGGATTTATAAGTGTTGGTGGAGGAATAGCTTGTTGAATAACTGGACTCAATGCTGCAGTTCCTAAAAACAATATTAATATAAAAATATATATTTGTATCTTTATGCTTTATTAGTTACATGAATGTATGGATAGAAAAATAAAATTACCAGGAATTATTGGTACTGGAGTTCTTATTTGTTGTGGTATAGCAATTCCTGGTGGTGGTATAGTAGCAGCTGGAACAGCAGGAGTTATACCTAATGTAGTAGGTAATTGTTGTAAACCAGGTAAAACAGCTGTTTGAGCACCTAATTGAGAACTTAATTTACTTAAACCTAAAACAGCATTAGTAGCAACCGCATCCATTGCTTGAATTTTTGCTGTAGCTGCTGCAGCTGCAACAGCAGCAGCTGTTGGCATATGACTTGAAGCTGAAGGACCCTGAAAATGTGTATATTAAAATATCTATCTCATTTATTTATAAATATCTTAAACCGTACCGCGAAAAAATAACCCGGGAAATTTAGACCCCGAAAAAATAACCCTATAATATGAGTTTTTGCAAATTAATCTCAAATCAACATAAATGTATAAAATACCTATTACCTACGTACAATTGTTATGTTCCCACAAATACTATTAATTTTTAATTCAATGATAAATTATTGTATACCTACGATAAAAACGATTAAGACCACGGTCTGTCTGTCATATCGATCAGATATACAATAACAAGGTACAGTGACGTATTATAACGGATAAGAAAGGTACTACTAACTTTATCTTAAATGTAATGTAATGTGGTAATTTATAAAGTTGGCTTTTTTGCCAATAAATAGGTTACAAGAAGGTGTTGAATATTTAAAATCAATTATTCCTTTTGGTGCCGAGAAGTTGTTTCAATATTTTGAGACGAAACCTATGTGAGTGGAACAATACATCAAATAAATAAACAAAAMACTYTATGTTTAAGCGTTCGACATTTTCCAGCGATGTTCCCTCCAGAAACTTGGAGTGTTCAACGAACGACACTCGAAAATAACCAACAATGTTTGTGAATCTTAGAACAATCAATTTTGCCATTTAGTTGGAGGAAAACACCCATCGATTTTGACGTTAATAACCAAAATAAAAAAAATTGTATTACAAATTTAAACTTTATTACCAAATTATTGTATTATAGAAATCAAATAGTATTGTATTCCACAGTTATAATGAGAATTTTTTATTTATATATTATTGACATTGTATTACAAATTTATACTTTATTACCAAATTAATGTATTATAGAAATTGACAAATTGTATTRTATTCCACATTTATAATGAGAATTTATTAATTATATATTATTGACATTGTATTACAAACTTATACTTTATTACCAAATTATTATATTATAGAAATTGTATTGTATTCCACATTTATAATGAGAATATTTTATTTATATATTATTGACATTGTATTACAAATTTATACTTTATTACCAAATTATTATATTATAGAAATTGACAAATTGTATTATATTCCACATTTATAATGAGAATTTATTATTTATATATTATTGACATTGTATTACAAATTTATACTTTATTACCAAATTATTATATTATAGAAATTGTATTGTATTCCACATTTATAATGAGAATTTTTTATTTATATATTATTGACATTGCATTACAAATTTATACTTTATTAGTTACAAATCATTTTTATTATAGGGTTATTTTTTCGTGTGGTTATTTTTTCGGAGTTTTTTTTTTTCGGAGTTTTTTTTCGGGGTTATTTAATAGGTAAATCATCTTAAAACATACATGAAGAGCATTCGGAGGAGTAATGGCACGTCCAACTCTTAAATACTGGCCTCCAAGGTCAAAAAGATTCATTGAAGATATTGCTTCAATGGCTGCTTGACGACCTTCGTATTCGATGAAACCATAGCCACGATGTCTATTTGGTGTACTACCTTGGGCAAGTTTACACGTCCTAATTGGGCCAAATGCTTCAAATACACTTTTTATGTCATCTTCTGTTAAGTCTGGATGTATAGATGCTACATAAATACGGTTATATTGTTTAGCTTCTTCCTGAATTTCATCAATGACAGATTGTGCTTGTGGCATATTGCTAGGACGCCCAACCTATATAAAAGACGACAGTACTATAAATATATAATGAATTCTAAACTGCAAACCTATTAATTATTTATCACTTATTTTTAAACCATACAATAATACTAGGTTTATAAGATTATAAAGACAATTATGTAATACTTACAACTTTAATATTTCGACCTCCAAGCATTACTCCATTCATTTGCTCGAGTGCAAGCTGAGCAGCTTCTGGTATTTCATATTCTACAAATGCAAAACCTTTGTGCTTTTGAGTAATTGGATCCCAAGACATGTTAATTGATTTAATACAACCAAATGGTGAAAATGCTTGTTTAATTGAATCTTCTTTAAGTTCAAAACTAATACTTCCAACATATACTCTAAGCATAATATGAAAAATTAAATTAATAGACTATTGATTTTAATATAATTTATATCAATTTTGAAAATAATTTTAAAACAATCAGATCTTATCAGCAAATAAATCACTAATTTGGGAAACACAATAAATGTTAACATTTAATAGTCTCAACCAGTTCTCAATATTGTATATTATTTTACATCATTTTGTTTATTTATTGAATAGAAATATTCTACAATAAGTGTATATATATATAACTTACCTGCACATTAATATTAAAGCTTGGTGACGATGGAATGACTTGGCTTGTTGTTGTTGATGGGCTAGTGTTTGTTTCATTAATACCATTTTAATACTTTGTTCCATAGCATATTTTTTTGCTTTAGCGACAGCTTCATTCTGTTCTGCACTCAATTTAATTAAAGGAGCAGCAAGAGCACCTAAAATACCAAGCCTTGAACCAGGACCTATAAATAATATATAAATTTAAAATTATATCGCAACCAAATAATATTCTCTTATGTAATTTATAGAATTCAATAATTTATAACATCAAAACTAAAATATAAAATATGAAGAGCAGTTTTTCTACAAAAAGATTAAAAACATCAAGTGTTATACCAACAAGATTAATACTATAATAAGTATAGTAATAAGAGTATAAGAATACCAAGAACTATACTTAAAATTTAAATAGTATAATGACTAATGAGTAATCAAGTTTATTACATACAGTTTAAATAATTGAATATTTAATTTAAGTAAGTTTAAGAAAAAAAATTAATAATTATATCATTATAAACTTATAAGCTATATATATAAGTAAATAATTAAATACCTGAGATTAAGGTTCCAATTTGATTGAAATCATATGGTGCAGTAGTGAATGATGCATTTCCATTCACTGAAATAAAAAAACATGTCAATAAAATAATACAATGCAACAAGATATAAACATTAAACGTCAAAATAATTTATTTTTAAAGAATAGTTATGAAAGGATTATGTATTGCCTGTAAAAAAATATAATTTACTATATATATATATATAAATATACAATATATATATATATATATATATATATATCAAATAATTTATGCAACTAAGATATTTAAAGCATAAACATAAATATAATTTAAAATATTTTATAAAATAGTATTCAGCAAATAAATGAACATATTTGCACTAAAAAGAAAAAAATTATAACCATAATAAAATTACTTTTCTGAAAGAAACTATGAAAAGTTGCAAAAATCATATTTTTAATAAACAAACAGCAAAAAAGTTTTTTAATAAGACTTAGAATACAAAGAAATTAGATTTACACATTTAGGAAATTTATTATATTTTTTTTAATGAAAATGTATTTTATTTTTTTATTTGCTGAATGTTTAATATGTATTAAATAACACCATTAAGGTATGAGCAAACATATTGCGTTTCCATTAGAGACCTTAACCACAACCGGTAGTAGGCCTGACTTGCTCAGGTGGCTGCACTTGCTAGTAGAGGGATATTCGTCCGGAGACAACACAGAAGAGCATGACGAAAACAAAAACAAACCAAAATAAAATATAAAGTAGATAAATGTTTAAATTCTCCTAATTTAGTCGTCAATTATACTTACAACGTTTTTAAACAACCACAGGCCTACCCAATGGACCAATTTGAAAGTTAACTCCAAAACTGAAATCAATTGATCCAAAACAAACACAATATTTTGGATGAATAATGATTCTAGAAAATTTACCTACATCCTTTAAATCATTAAATAAAACAATTTAGCAACCGTGATATAACAGTACCTATTAATCCTACTAATTACTTTATTAATATATTAATAAAGATTTATGATGCCATAAAATAAGAAAAAGTTGCTAAATTTTTGGAAATTTTGATGAATATATCATTTACAATTGAATTTTTAACATATTAATGGTGATTTTCTAATAAAATATAATTTTTTTCAGAGTTCTGACATGTTTATAGACATGCATAATGCTATACACATTAAAACATAACCTAATGTGAAATAATTTAGTTTTTTTATTTGACGAGGAAAAAAAGAACAATTTTGAGTAACAAATACATCATAAAATAATGATTCAATTTGTGAATATTAGTATACCAAACATAATTGAGTCACAATATCTCTCTGTTYTTTTTGTTAATAAAATGGAACATTTCAATGAATAAAGGTTAGTATTATCATTGATTATATATACATTAAAAAAAAATAATTACATGAAAATAAATGTTTATAAGTATTGTACACACCCTTCCCTACAAACTAGGTAATTTAATCTTTTGATGTGTGAGAAGCGTATAGACTAGTGCTATCAGTAAACCGCCTGGAACATCTCAAAAAAAAAAAAAGAATATTGATTAGTTTAACTAGTAAAGATTGTATTCGTTAGAGTATATATTTTTGATTCATTTTAAAATGTGTGACATTTTATGTAATTATTAGCATAGATGATTATATTTTTTGAGAGAATTAACTTTAACTAAAAAATAGTTAATATGATACTTAAATTATATGAAATAGGTAGAATAAAATTTTATAAGAAATAAGTCTCCTAACAGTAAGTTAATAAAAATTTATAAGTCAAGTTATTTCCTTGAATTTAAAAGTGTTGAATGTTTTTTAATTAAGTGATATAGGTATAAGATATAAATTAATTTAATGACTATTTTTTTCCAATATTTACAAATTGATTTATAAATTATAACAGTTTTTAATATATAGATATAAAAAACTATTTAAACTAAAACAAGTTATTGAAAAACAAAGAATTTATTGATTATAAAATTATTAGATATACCTAATAAGCACCCAAGATAATACATAAATATAAAGATATGGACATTTATCGTCTATAAAAAGGGATTTCAGTACCTTAATTTAAAACAAATATTTTGAAAACAACTAAAAATACAATACCTTCGTGTTTTGGTATTTTAGCTTCTGGTTCTTCTTCTGTACCATTTGACATGACTGGTGCAGACACGGATGCAGGTTGATAGTTATTGGAATTGGCTGTTGTCAGTGTGTTAATAAATGGTTGTTGTTGCTAAATAATTTAATACAATAGGTTAATAAAAAATTATAAAACATATTTATATTTATTAAGTATTTAAATAGCGAATAGCTAATTAAATTATATTAATTAACTATATTAATGCCCAGTTCTATAAGCTATTACCAAATCTTTCATTGAAATGCATCAATAGTGAGGCAGATCCCTTAAAAATAATTTAGTAACCCGTCATTAGTCCATTAAATTAATCAATTTTCTTTGTAATATAACTCACTATAACTATTGTCAATGTTATAAGAATAATTAAAATACATTTTTATTTAAGATTTATAATTTTTAAAACTATGTTTAAAGATGATTTCATTTTGTATCTAAAATATTACTTTTCTACTTAACTTTACAAGAAAACATCTAATTTTCTATACTTTACTTTTCATGAGTAGGTATGTAGCCACAAGAATAAATATATCAAGCCATAAATTTAAATATTTAATCTTGGAAAAAATTTCAAATCATAATGAATATTTTATTTTTAACATGAATTATGAATTGAATTGAACAGTTTATGATGATAAGTAGTATGGTATTAAAAATCCCAATAATGCATAAATAATAAATATGTATGTTATTTTTAATAAATGTTATTTTAAAATTATACTAATAGGTATCGAAGTCTGTCATATTTATGATGATAACTATATACCTATATAAAATAGGCAACAGCAATTTAAATCATTCTAGTAGAAGGCGTTTTATGATCATTGATCTGCTTAAAATATAWTAACACTACTACCAATATTACTAGAAATATTTTTTTTTTTTAAACTAAGGCAACATACCAATACCAACAGATTAAACATGAAATGCAAGCGTCGTAAGAGAACATTTAACAGATATTCACTTACCTAATACAACAGATGAAGAATTTACAATACAAGAGACTTGTAAATAAAGTATAAATAAATACAGAATAGGTATTTAGTTTCGTGAAAAAAAAAACTATTTTTGGAGAGAAATACAAAATTTTGTTGAAGTCTAGTAATAACTTATCATAGAAACTAAGAAGTTATGATMACTTGTCAAAGGTACCTAGCCTTAACATACCTATATTATTTTATTTAGATTCTACTTTATTTTATTTAATCATTCATGATAAAATATATTTYATTAATTAAATATGTTAAAAATAAAAATATTTAGATATTGTATTATAATAAATAATAATTTGGGTACCTAACTAAATACTATTAAAAATGTATTTAAAAAAAAAGTTTTTATACTTACCAACCCAACACTTCCGTTCATCATGGTTAATTTGAAACTATTGAAAAATAATATAATGACTATCTACTACCTACACAATACAATAATTTATCAATCAGTTGATTGTTAGGTACGAGGTCTAACCAAAACAAAGTTAATGGAAATAAAAATGAAAATTACACTTTATTCACTTGACAGAATAAGATCAAAATTGAAAATAGTAAGCACTAAGAATATTGTAGTGAGAATGTGTAAATATGATCGAATCCAAGTAACAAACGCTGAATTTGGAACGATAAGCCGATATCTATGAAAACAAAATTGAAACAGTAAAACAAAGTAGATAGACCGTAAACGACAAGAACATTAAAATATAGAAGTATTTTCAACTTTATATATTTTACAATTTGGTATTTGTTCTAGAATTCTAGATTATAGAAAACCATAGGGTTTAAGAGTTACGACATTCGCCTGACATGGATCATGGACAAGAATACAAAATTACAAAAGAAAATGGTTGAACGTTGAACCACAGAATGATGAGATCAACCAATCATCATAGAGTAAGTAATGTTTTCATCATGGAAGAATCATATCAAACATATTAGCGCTAAAATCTAAATTATAATGAAATATATTGTAGGTAAATACTAAATACTAAATTTTTAATGTGCAGTTGTACAGAAAATATCGTAATTAATTATGAAGAACTCACTGATGTTGATAATATTAAACATTAATCTTATGCCAGATTTTAAAAATTATAGTTAACTGTTATATATGGTACTAAAGTAAGATATAGTTACCATTGTTTATTTGTTTGTATAATAATAATATACATAAGGGTTTTTGTACATTTAACATTTTAATAAATGCTTATACTGATAGACTATATTAATCATTAAACTATCGGACTGATTCAAGAAGGAAAGGGCAAAGTCCTCCCCCAAAGTTAACATAATTCCATATTTTTAGAGATATTAAATTTAATAAATAATAATCTATAGTAAATTAAATMAACGTAAAAAATATAATTAAAAATAATAATAGTTATACCTTATACCTATGTGTTTATTGTTATTATTATATTTTACATAACATTAAAGAAGTTGAAGAAAATAAAAAGCGGGTAAGTCGTGGATGTCGCTCTGCTGTACAGTATAGGTTACAAGTGGGTTACTGCAGTAATGGATGGAATTAA